CATTTGAGTTTTGTTCTGCATGTCTGGATGGAGTGGGTTTTATATATCCTGACTTCCATGAGGCTGCCTGGAAACTGAGGCAAGTAGTAAAGAGTGTGTGGGTCCAGGATGGGAAATCCCAGACAACCAGCCAGAACTAGTGGGAAGCTCTAGATGACACAGACAATATTTATAGTGAAAGAGGGGGAATTAAGGTGTTTAAAAAATAAAAAATTCAACAACAGGCATCAAGTTCAACCTGAAAGACTCACTGCATAGCTGTGTGACCAGAGTGGAGGTTCCACTGCAGCAGTGCAAGCTTTGAGATGCAGGAACTTCAACAGTGTGGTGGTGGCATGGTGGGGTTTGTCCACTTTCAGTAGAAATCCTGGTGCTGACATATATTTAAAAAGTACCTAAGTAAGTCTTCTAATCCTAGTGTGCCTCAGATCCTGGCTTGTAACCAGTGGGAAAATACCTCCAGCTTGTTCTGCTTCCATATCCTGGTCTGTCTGAATAGACAATCCTACCCTGAAGGATCTGGAGTGGTTTTTGTGATGTGAAAGCACTTCCCTGAACATGGTGCAGTTCCTGTTGTTCCCATGAATAAGTGCATTCACATGGTGGGAGAGGGGAAATGTGTGTGGCCCAGCATTTTAAGGCAGAAAATTAGAATTGGGAAATCTGCAGTTCACAGCCTAGTTAGCCATTGCTTCTGGGCAAGTCAAGGACAAGGTCTATCTGGTTCAAATTTCCAGGCAGGGTTTTGGAAACAAGGGCATTCTTTCCCGGGGACCTGGCTTCACTTCCCCAGCTCTTGCCATCTGTGTGAGCTGAGGGGTTTTGGCCCCTCTGAAGACAACAGCCACACAGATAGAGTATTTTTTTTTCTTGGTGCTGCTGTTGCACAGCAGAGTTGACTGCAGTTTGTGTAACTTTGTCTTGGCAAGGAAATGAAATACTTTTAATATGTGTTTTAACAACAGTGAAACCTGAAGAGCTCATGCCAGAACCTGAGACAAATGCTTATATAAAGGTGCTGGTCTGACATCAGGACACGTACCAACACACAGGCTTCATACAGAGCAGGCCTGTTTGCCTCAGGCCACATTTATGCCTTCACTCCTGCCAGCCAGTTTGACCTTGGGATTTTTTTCCTTCTTCCTCCCTCTTCAGAGCCTCACAAGGTAAATTCAGGCACATTCAGGTCTCACTGAAGCACACTGTGTTTTTATTACTTTCTGAAACTGCAGTTTGTCTCAACCCCCAGCAATGTCCCCGTTGCTTATGGTGCTGCTGGAAGGTGAGGGCAGGAGCACGTGGCCAGGCTGCCACGAGGCTGTTTGGATCCAGGATGGATGGTTTGCCAGTTTACAGGGAGCTGAAGCTGAGTTTGTCACTCATAAATAGAATTCTGTTTCTACTCTGTGCCACAAAATTTCAGTTGATTCCCCTGCTGCTGGAGAAGAGCAGAGAACAATGAAACATGCAGGTCCCAACCACCTGGTGTGTGCTGTGATTAGACAAAGCTCCTTGCACAGACAGGGAAGGTCAGGCTGCTCGGGCAGAGGCAGCAGTGGAGCTGAAACACCCATTCGCTTCCTTCTGGGATTGCTTGCAAGTCGGGTCCTTGAGACTTCTAGGACTGTCACTTCTAGGCAAGGAGAAAAACTCCAGATTTACTTGGAAGGATTAGTTTCTCCTGTGGATGGGAGTCAGTCTGCTGCAGAGGGTGACAAGCAAGATGACCCGAGTCCAGATGGTTTGAGCTAAGCCTCAAGCAGACACTTGTTGTCCCATTTCTTAGTGGGTTTTGTGACTTCAGACTCTGCCCTGCTAACATTTTTGGGAAGGGTATCAAGTCCCAGAGTAGCAGAGCTCTGGCAGCCAGGGCTCTTCCTTAGACCTGGATAAGTAAGGAGGGAAAAAATCTGTGCAGCAGTGCAGCTGAAAGGATGAATTAATTCTCTGATTGAGCTACTGGGTCAAAACTAGTACATATTTCTGCTGGAGAAACAATAGCTGACTTTGTGTCTAGTTCAAAGCCTGCAACCCAGCTTGCTGCAAAGCCCACCTTTTCCTGGGAGGCACAGCACTGAATTTGTGTCTTTCTAACCAGCACCTGCCTGCCCTGGCAGGGAGTTGGCTTTTCAAGTCCAGCTCTCCTGGAAAAACTCAAACAAACCCCTCTGTTCCCCCTCACCCTCCTCCTGTAATTGCCAGGTGCTGCAGGAGCTGTTTGACAGATGAGCTCTGCTCCCCAGCACAACCACTCAGCTTCAAATTCAACAGGGCAGGAGGAGGCAGGATGGGTGTATAAAAGGGGCCATTTAGCTGCCACTTGCCAAAATAACCTATAAGCTGTACCTGCAAAGGTGTTTTAAATGGAAACATGCCCAAAGCTCAACTTGATGGTAACACTTCCAGCTCTCCATGATATGGGGATAAGCATAATAAGCAGCAGTGTGTGCCTCCAGTCTGGAGACCTGTGGGTGAATTAGTGGCTCTCAGAACCCAGAGCAGGTGTGTGTGCACAGGGGAAGTGTGTGACGTGTCATAAAGAAAGAATGTCCTGTGATTGCTCGATCAAAGTCCAGCTCTTCTCCCCTGCTATACAGCTTTTATTGAGCACTTTTGATTTTCCAAATGTTTTTCTGAAGAGAGTAGGATCCAGCCTGCAATGCCCAGTGGTGGGTTGCCATGGATTTTGCAGGGTCTCATGGGCTTGGTCAGGTGTAACCCTGCTGATTCAAAGGGGAGGAATGAAGCAGAGACTTGCTGCAGGTAAAGCAGCAGAACCAAGCACTGCTACCTCCCACCCTGGCCTGAGGCACAGACCTTGGACCCTTTCACTTGCTACACAGTGCAGAAAAAAATAAAAAGATTTTATGCATTTTTCAGACTGCATCTTAGATTGTTACACCCTGTTGGGTAAATTAATCCTTTTTGTAAATAGGCCGTTTCACTGACAACAATAAAAATGCTTTGGTTATAGGTGACTCATGCACAAATCACTCACCACTGCCAAGGTGGTTTGGGCCAGAGGGAGGTTAGCAGGTATGAATATCACATAGCTTAATATTGAAATTGTTCAGCCTTCTTCATTTGGGATTTTTATTTTAGTAGCCAGAGGAGGAGAAAAATGCTTCTATCAAGCTGGAATCTGTGTTCTCCTAGTCAGAAGCAACAATGTGCAAGTTCGATGTGGCTTTTTCTGGACTATGTCCACAGTCAAAATACTTGCTCCCCAGCCTGAGTGGGATGGAGAGTGTCTTCCAGCCTCTGCTTGTCAATCCAGTTTCTAATGGATGGGTGGGGGAACAGATGGGGACAGTGCTGCCACCCCAGCTTCAGTGCCTCTCACAGGTTACTCCAAGGCATGTGTAAATAATTTCACTGCACTATACAATAAGGCTGAGCAAACTCTAAAGACAAAATATTTCTTTCAGCGTGGAAAGATCTATAACTACAGTTGATGGTCATGTTGCTGAATTAATTTGACCTTGGCTAAACAAAGGAGTCATTCAGGCAGAGGAGAATGACCCAGTTACAGGCTTGAGACAGAGTTATTTTTGTTTTTCTAAAGAAAAAAACTCCAGCCTTTTTAAGAGGATCGAAGTATTTGATGAATTAACCTTGCAATTCTGATCCCTCCCACCCAGGCACACACTGGTTGTTCCCCTTCCTGATCTCTCTCATTCCTCATACACCCATTAGTGGAGCCTCCCAAATACACACCATGTGTTGACTCAGCTCTTGGCCTCCCCACCCCAAAACAGCACCCTGTCTGTCAAGAGCAATCAGAGCTGTGTCCTCCTTGCCTCCTCAAACTGTACCTGCCACTACATGTGTTTTATTCATTTGATGGATGCTGCTTTGCAGAAACCCTGAGGCAAGCCTCAATGAGGGGCAGGGAGGGAAGGCTGCCTTCCACATTTCCAGTTTTTTTTAGTACTAACTGATTTCCACCCACTTTTTTTCTGGCTCTTCTGTATCTCGTGCTCTGTAAAAGCAAAGCTACTAAGAACATGCTGCACATCCACAATATCCCAGTGGATTATAACAGAGTAGAGCAGAGTTCTTGCTGGTGGTACTGAGCAGCATCTGAAAAAGGAAACTCAATTCCAGTATCAGGTGTTGGAGAGTAATTTAATTTTCAATGGTAGTTTAAGGATATTAGCTCTCTAAAGCTGGGAGCTGCAATGGTTTCAGAGGTCTGTTTGAAGTGGTACTCACACCCTGCTCAGGCTGAAGGAGTCTTTTAATGGCTAAGGTTACTAGTCACATTTAGAAAACATTTGGAAAACGCTTATAAAATCAGTAAACACACAGGTCTACAATTTTACCCTGCCAGACTCCAGGAGAAGGCATAATTTCAGCTATCCACTTGCAGGCTTGTCCTTTCCAGCAATAGACCTGAAATGACACTGGCAGAGCAAGGTGCTGGGCTGAACTCACATCAGCTTTCTGTCACAGTCACACTGCAATTTGGTTTTCTCTCATGAAGTCACTGCTGTTTGTCACTTCTGGAGCTTCAGATTAGGGGGTTAAATGGTTTTTCTTCTCTGTGTTAGATGAATGAAGCTACTTTTAATTCTCTAAAGCAGTTTTTAAACCTTTCTGTTTTGACTTTTTTTCTTCCTTAAAGGCATATCACTCTTCACATGTATTGGCTCAGGGATCTGAATCTCAACATGAAATGATAAACTAAAATCCTAAAGCACTTCTGTATTTATCCAAAACTTGTATAACAGCAATTGTGTATTGGTAATAATGCATTATTATGTTTATATCTTATCCTATTAATACTGAGCAGTGCATATTTTAAGGCAAATTACTCAGATAGCAACATTTTCCTTGGCTTCAGCAGGGCCAGATTTTCACATTAGGAACTTCAGTTCCGTGCTCCTGCACTTCATTAGCTCTGAATCTTTAATTATCACTGTCAAATTTTGGTTAATATTTTATGAACTCCTTCTCCTTTGTGTTGTTTTTTTTTCCCCTTCTGTAGCTGAATCAAGATGACGACAGCCACACCAGTAATCAATAACACTCAGTTCTCAGTAAATGTGACAGCAAAGTCTCAAGAACAAAGTCTCTATCAAAGTAAGAACAGTGGGGTGGTGGCTTTTTTTAAAGTGGACTTTGAACTTAACAAACTTCAAACAGTAACTGTGACAACTTTGCAAATAAAGACTTTTTTTCCCCTTTGTTTCTCTCCTAGGCTCTGGAGCAATAGTTGCTGCCATCGTAGTAGGAGTCGTTGTTATCTTTACAGTGGTTCTGCTCACCTTGAAAACATACAACAGGTAGGTGGCCAAGTTCTGTGCTGCACTGAGACAAGGCAAGATGAACCCAAGTCCCTGTGAGGTGGACTCTCATCTAACAGGACTTTTCAGTAGCTCTTGCTGGAGGTTCCCAGGAGAATCCAAACTATGATGTGCTGCTTGATTTAAGTGTCCTGAATCTCACCATCAGTGTTCTGTGATTGAACTGCTAGTAAGCAGAGAGCTTCTTGCTGAAGGATGCCTGATGGAAGCTCCTTCTAGGGATTCCTGTTGGCACAGGGAAGGTTTCTTGTGTGCACCAAGGCTTCCAGGGAGGAGCTTGAGAAGGGTATTGGGTTGGGCTTACATGCTCTAGACGCACTAACTCACCATTTAGTATCTTTGGGATTAAATCCTGGATACTATTGAATTTTCCACAGCTGTTTGATGTAACCTGCTCCTTGGGAACCTTCCCAATACTTCCCATGGGATACACCACCCCAGTGCCAGCCCTGGTGACAGTTTCATTCTTCCCTTTACAGACGCATGAGAGTGAAGCGGGAGCTAGAACCCAAAGCTACCAAAGCAGCAATGCCACCTCCCCTAGGACACACCAGCACTAGCTTGTCCCACCATCCCACAGTGACCTTCATCCCTGTGGATATCCACATGCAGAACAGATAACTGGGAACGCCCCATCTCCCTGTGAGTGAAGTGAGATGGAATTCTTATTTACGTGGACGTGAGACTCCTCGGCAAAGAGATGCATTTGGAGTAGGGATGGGCTGTTATTTTGTCTACAGATGGAAGTTAATCCTGCTTTCCATCTCTGGGAGGAAAAACAGAAGGTCTGGACACCTTTCATATAACTGAAATCAACTGATGGAGGCATCTAAGTAATCAGAACCACAGTGAGACTCAGTAAATCAAGGCCATTCATTGGGAGACAAGATGCACACTCGTGTTGTGGAGCTTTTAATTCCTCTCAGAGTTTTGAGCTGCTTCTGCTCAGCACTGACTGATAATAAACTGGAAGGAAAAATTTGGATGTGCAAGCTACAAACTCAGGCTGAACCTGGGTTTGTTATGATGTATGTGAAACAGGTTTGTAGTCAATTTTATACATGATGGATAGTACAGGAAATGTCAAATTTGTATTTATCTTTACTCATCTTTCATGTTTCTAGTGCCACATACCTAAGGTTTGAGATAAAACGTTACCTTTTCTTTTCAAGTATTTTAAAACATTCTTAAAAGCTTGGTAACCCACCCACTTCCAAATCAACTCAATGTATTTTCACTCTCATGCCAAGAATGGCTTGAGGTTCATTACTGGTTAGAATGCTTCATCCTACACAAAGTCTGAGAAGTTCTCTAATTAAAGAAGGGAGCATGGGAAGGCAAGTGAGGCTTCATCCAGCTATTTTGGTACAACCCACCTCCTGAAATGCTTTGTTCTCTAATGCAGACTGAGCTTGAACTATTTTTAGAATTCTTTTTGTGGTAGTAACTGAAAGAAAGCGATGTCTTTTTGCAGGAGTGACACTGGTGGGTGTGCAGCAATGCAACAGAGAAATTCCCAAGGATATTCCCAGCCCAGTGAGTGGGAGCACAGAGCAGCATTGTAAGCCATTCAGGGGCTGATTGTCTCAAGTGTGCAAATCAAAGCAACCCTGAACACACTGCCTGACAGGAGAGACAGGAAGGGTCAAGGAATCCAGGAGTGAAATCCTGGTTTTAATAGAAGAACAGGAGGCTCTGAGAAACAGCTTCACTATTTCACTCACACATCTTACATTTGATGGAATCACTCACTTGGATGGCTGAGCAGGGGTTGAAGAAAATGCAGCAGTGTCATCACAGCCTGGATTTATTGTGTTGGGGGTGTCCTGAATCACTGCCAGCCTTTCAGTTCCAGCTGCTGTGGCCATCAGAGGGCTCCAAACTGTTTGTAGAACAGAAAAACTGTTAGTAGGGTATTTTAACTCCTGTTTGGGGCAATCTTGTCTAACTGAATTGATCACAGAGCCTCCAGCTGTAAAGCTTTTGGTCTTGTGCTTCTTCCCAGTACTGTCACCTGCCACCAACTGTCACATCCTGAAAACAAAACTGACCCTCCCCAGAGTGACATGGCCAGAGACTGGGGCCATGACTTGATCTGATTGTTCCAAGATGTGAATGTATCTCTTGAACAGGTCATTTTTATTTTTGTGCAGTAACTAAATGCAATTATTTGCAATTCTTTTTGCTATGGAACTGGAGCACAGTTGGAATTCCAAACTAAATATTAAGACAGCTGTTTGTGAAGTTCCTAAATCTTGTTACAAATATTTGACTTGTCCTAGTTCTCTAACTTTTTCCTTTTTTTTTTTTTTGTGGCAGCAATGATTGATATGATCATTCAGAAGGGCCTGAAGGTGCCAATTTTATTTTCTTTCCTAAAAATATAAAGCAGTTGCCTTCCTGTTTCTGTCTCTGGACAACTAAGGACATTTTTGGAGCATGTCCCACTGTCTCAAAATCAAGATCTTTAGAAGAGATAAACCCCATCTCACTGTTATTTTATAACATTATCAGCCAAACCTACTTCTAGCAAACTGTGTTTACTTTCCATTTGCAGAAATTCAAAGCAATGATGTTTGCTTTGTTTCACTGAAGCAGAACAAGCAATTGTAGATTGGTAGAGTACTGGTATTGGCAGAATTGCTGCCTCAACCACAATAGAATTGCTCAAACTGGAAAACTCACAGTGTGCTGATTTACCAGAGAAATTTGTCTTATCTTGACACAGTCTGGGAGGCCCCCACAAGCCAGGCTGGTTCCTGTCAGCAAAACCCAAGCTTATGCTGACCAAGTAAAATCACCTTCTTAAGAAAAAAAAAAAATTAAATCACTGTATTTCCACTGCACTGCCACTATAATAGTTGTTTAATTTGCTGTGGACTGAAGTTTTCCAGGAACAATCCCATGCTGCCTAATAGCAGCTGCTTCAATGCTGATTCAACTTGCCCTGTCCAGGGACTCAGCTTCCACTTTTAAACCCCCAGTTTTTGGAAAAAAGCTCCTCTTTAGCTGCCTTTGTTTGCAGACTTGCCATCAGGTAAACCTGATGCTAAAAAAAATAATTAAATAATCAACAACTAGAAGCTGATATTGCAAATTGGTCTATTAAATAAAGCCCAGACCATGGAGAGAACAGGCAAGGTAAGTGTAACAGCAGGGACTGATTCACACAGACTCGTTAGAGATTATCCACCAAGCTCTGCAAATTAATACAAAGCTGAGCCCTCAGTGGCACAGGGCCCCAGAGTGTCTTTTTGCTTGCTAACCAGTATTTCTACTGCATACTCCACAGTTGTTCTGCAGTGGGTCTTGCAGGAATTAGTATTTTTTTTCTTGCTCCTAAGTGTCTTCTTAGAATTTACGGCTTCAGCAGGTTGGAGCTTTGAATCTCAAAGCTGGCACTTTAATTCTACTGATGCAAATACCCTAGTAAACTGTTTCTGTTTTCACTTCTGGATGAGTCCTGTTGCCCAACACTTCTCCAAGGCAGCTTTCCCCTCTCCTGGGTCCCCCACCCACTGTATTTCAGCAGAGCCCGTAGCTCCATCTAGTGTCCTCCGCCCATCTGACAGGTTCCAACTGGTAGTTCATAGAATCATAGAAACTATTCAGGCTGGAAAAGCCCCTTGGGATCACCGGCTCCAACCATCATCCCTACTCTACAAAGTTCTCCCCTAAACCATCTCCACCAACACCACATCCAAACCACCTTTCAACACATCCAAGGATGGTGACTCCACCACCTCCCTGGGCAGCCTGTTCCAGTGTCTGACCACTCTTTCTGTGAAATTTATTTTCCTAATGTCCAGTCTGAACCTGCCCTGGTGCAGCTTGAAGCCCTTCCCTCTTGTTCTGTCACCAATTACCTGTGAAGAGACCAGCACCAACCTCTCTACAATGACCTTTCAGGTAATTGTAGAGACTGATGAGCTCTCCCCTCAGCCTCCTCTTCCTCACACTGAACATTCCCAGCTCCTTCAAGTTCTTCATCATATTGATTCTCCAGGCCCTTCCCCAGCTCCGTTGCCTCCTCTGTCCTGGCTCCAGCCCCTCGAGATCTCTCTGGGATTGAGGTGCCCAAACTGGACCCAACACCCCAGGTGTGGCCTCCCCAGTGCTGAGCACAGGGCGACAATCCCCTCAAGTTTTAACCCCTTACCCCACGCCCTTTTATAAAATCCGATTGCTTTGGGAACCACCAGGTGTGAGGGCTCATCTAGCCCATGAACGGGGACAGGGGAACCTCGCGGGAGGGTCACTAAGCACAGGGCACGGCGCTACTGACCGGGGCTGGGTGAAACCGCAGAGGAGCGGACAGGGGCCCAGGCCGGCCCCACGGCCCCTCACGGGAGGGA